TTTTTTTTTTTTTTATCTGATTAACCGATTTAATCGAACTTAATAATCGGCCAACTAATCGATTATGAAAATAATCGTTAGCTGCAGCCCTATACAGGAGCCATGTTGTAGGGGGGGTCTAGCGGTCCCAGATTTCACAAAGTATTATTTAGCTGGTCAAATGGTGGTACTGCACAAGTGGCTCACGGGTGACTCTGAAGACGCAGCAGTGGTGGTGGAGGCTGCTTCGCTGGGATCATATGCAGCTCTGGCTGGACTTCCTTTGAGGGGTCTCAAAGCTCCATATGAACTCACGGTGTCTATGAGAGCTACGATTATGACATGGTGGTCCATTTGGAGACAGCTGAGTCTGACACCGCAGGGGTGGTCTCTGCACAAAACCCGCTTCTGTCCCACTTCTTAAATATACCCGATTTTCATGTCTGGCCTGGAATGGGAGTAAGAACGCTAGGAGATCTTACATTAAACAATACACTTCTAACCTTTGACCAGCTACAGGAGAAATACCACGTCCCTACGGCTTATCTGTTCCGCTACCTACAGTTGCGCCATGCCTTCCAGAGCCAATTCGGGGGGTTGACTTGCGTAATACAGATGTCCCGTCTGGAGACATTATTGCGCAGAGAAGGCCTCACTAAACCGCTCTCAGAGGTGTATAGGCATCTTTTTCATACATCCTTGGCACATGCACTTAAATGTAAAGGCCTCTGGCTAGCTGATGCACCTGCGCTTACGGATGAGGACTGGGAGGATGTGTGGGATTACCCCTTTAGCCACTTGGTGTCTGCCCGAGATAAGCTCATTCAATTAAAAATTTTACACCGGGTGTACTTCACTGCGGCGAGACTAGCCTGCATTTATGGGGGCAGCAGCTTTGAATGTTGGAGGTGCTCTGATTTGCCGGCGGGTCTTATCCACATTTTGTGGACCTGCCCGCGAATCAGACCATTCTGGCTCGAAGTTACTAATTTTGTCACAATTTGTTGATGTGCCCTTTAATCCTGATGTGCGTACATGTATTTTAGGGCTAACGGAACAACTAGCTCCTACCATTGCGAGACAGACTTTCATGGGAATTTTGTTATACTGTGCCAGGAAGGTGGTGATATTGCGGTGGAGGCAAAGTACACCTCCAACTATATTAGACTGGAAGGGCCTAGTGAATTCATACCTAAGCCTCTACAAGTCTACGTATCAGAGTAGGGGATGCCCTAGTAAGTTTACTAAAGTCTGGGGAGGATGGGTGGACTTGGCAGACACAGCGAGCTGAGTGGACTGGCCTATTCCATGTGACGGTAATGAAGTTACTGCATACGGGGGGATGAGATGCTCTGTATAAGTCACCTCTGAACATGTTCATTATGTTACTCTGTACAACCTGTAGTGCCATGTGATATGCTGCTACTCCGGGGGGATGGGGGTACACACACTTTTCCAGGGGGAGGGGAGCGTATGTTTATGTTTAAAAGAAGTTAACCCCATGGTTGGGAATGGCCCATACAGTGTTAATTGTTGCACTTTTTAGTGAATAGCTGTCATCGGTGGCTTGTCAGTGTGTGTGACAAGCCACCGATGACAGACTCTCGCTCACACGCGCTCGCTCACTCTCACGCGCTCGCTCACTCTCACGCGCTCGCTCACTCTCACGCGCTCGCTCACTCTCACGCTCTCGCTCACTCTCACGCTCTCGTCACACACACTCACACTCTCACACACACTCACACTCTCACACACACTCACACTCTCACTCACACTCACACTCTCACTCACACTCACACTCTCACTCACACTCACACTCTCACTCACACTCACACTCTCACACTCTCACACACACTCACACTCTCACACACACTCTCACTCTCACACACACTCACTCACTCTCACACACACTCACTCACTCTCACACACACTCACTCACTCTCACACACACACACAGAGATCATGTGATGCTTAGATTGAACACAGGTAATTGTGACTTCTGAAGGTAATTGGTTGCACCAGATCTTATGGAGGGGGGTGAATACATGTGTGGACCACTTTTACGTTTTGTTTTTTCCCCCATTTTTTTATCACAAGTTATTTTCTTGCTTTCACGTCACCATTTAGGACCATTTTATGTGTGTGTATCACTTGTAATCCAAATAAAAGTGAATTTTACTTCCAGGCGCTAATGCAACAAAATAGGGAAAATGCCAAGGGGGTGAATACTTGTGCAAGCCACTGTATGTGGTTCTTGAGAACTTGTCCAGTCTCTGGATTGGAGCTCTGCTGTCTTGACATGATCCTAATTTTGCTTTGGTGTACTGAAGGTGCGAAAAATGCTCCCTGTTTCATTAATCCTAATGAACACTGGTGAACCTGGCTTGTTTCTGTACTGTTCTTCCTAGTACACTTTTCACAGCATAGAAGTTAACCAGTCTGCAGAAAACTGCACTTGTCTCTTCCGCCTACCAGACTATTGGTTGCAAATGGTATATATGTAATATTTATATGCACAATTTTATATTTTCCTTACCAAAAACAAATAACCTTGTTTTAAAATTGTTTTTTTTTATTGTTCAGGACTTGAAAGCTACAAAAGTAATTCAGTTTTTATGTTTTGGTATTGTGTATCCTACCCATTTCCTGAAACAGAAAAATGTAATTTTAGTTATTTTTACATCTTCAACGGTTTTGTGAAATAATTTTTTAATATCCGTCATATTTTAATATTTTGTGGAATAATTAAAATGATTGTATTAGAGCAAACGTCTTTGCTGTCCATGACTTGATGTAATGGTAGAAGCGGACAGGGCACATACAGTATTATAATGGTGGTGCAGAGTTTGCTGCTCTGCCTTTACAGGGAAAGAAGATAATATTGTCATATTATTACAGGATTAGGCAGGCCCGGGGCATTGCCACATGAGAGGGTGTAATTGTGGCTCTGCGAGTACTGGCTTCTCTAGGTTTTCTTCTTTCTTTTTTTGTAACCTATGGGCAACGCTGGAGGGACAAATTATGAAGCAAAGGGTACATGCTGGGAGCTGATGCCGTAGGCTGTATGCTGCAGATTGTTGAATATTTGACATGTCATTCCCAGAAGCTCATTTAAACTACAGTTAACAATTTGACCGAGTTTCCCTGCAGTGGGTGACTATCTGTATATTTTAGACACAAGGACGCACACCTTTTATGTAAATATGTAATCTTGTGTTTTATATGAATGTTTTGGTGTTTATTTCAGAGAGAACTTGCCCAGTCACTTTAAATTTAAGGACTATTGCCCACAAGTTTTCCGAAATCTCAGGGAGCGGTTTGGAATAGATGATCAGGATTACCAGGTAACGTCTTGACAAAGTTGGATTTGCTTGCTGATCTAAAGTTAAAGCTTAAACCCAGGAATATATAAAAGACACAAATGAATGCACCTTACTATTCCTTAATGTTACATTGAATGTATATGGTATTGCATGCAGTATGATTACCTGAATTTGATTTGCTATTAGCCTCTTGCAAAATTGCCTGTACAGAGGAACATAGACTGAAAGAGGAGGAGAAAAAAAACAAAAGGAGCCAATTGGTTGTGCTGCAGTGCTCATGTACTAACAAGGAATATTCTGAACGGAGGAGGTAGGAGGAGGGAGCAAGTAGCGGAGATATGAGCTTGTGGGTTCCTGCTCCTCTTTTTTTTCTCCAGTGTTTAGTCACAAGCTGGAGTAGATAAGGGTAGGGTACTTGTAAATGTTACCTGGCTGCAACACGAAAAAGCAGGTCCCCTGTCTTGCTAAATGGGACTGTGCTGTCTGGCAGGGCTGTGTAATCTCTGAACGAAATAGCAGAAATATACAACGTTTGGTTATACAGATCCCATGCATGTGTTTCATCTGTGTACAGTATTGTATTTTTCTATGGAGTTCAGCTTTAAAGATATTTCTGTTGTAACTCACTCACATTAAGATCTTGGTTTCTTTGTCCTATATAGAGGCACACAGGAGGAGTAGTAATAGAATGCTGGGTTATATGCAGCTTCATTCAGGAAAGCAACACTGACAAACAAAAAACTGTTGAAGACGCGCCACTATAACCCCGTCCACAGTGCTTTTACTGGTCCAGAGCCATCTCGCAGCCTCTGGTGTGTACCAGTCTCTGAAGACTCACTCTGAATAAGCCCATGGATGGGTTTGATATACTGGAATGTGACATTGAGGGTATTGTGCTCTGCTAGTAGCACCTTCCTTACCCCTGGATACTGTGTTGGTTAATCGCAGAGCGCTCTTCGGCTTCAGAGCAGGAGTGCATGTTTGGTGTACCTCAGTCTTGGATTATTCCATGTGTAAGCATACCCCTGTAGAGGCAACATCATCCTGGCCTGTGACACTTTCCTTACCCTTGTGTACTGTCACTTAGCCAAAGAGCACTTTTTATTTTCACAACAGGTGTACTTGCTTGGTCCACCCCAGTCTGATATTGCCATTTATTCAAGTACGCCTTGCTAGTATGCCACTAACGGAGGGATGTCGGGGTATATTACATTTGAGCATGTTGTGCTCTTGGCACTTTTTGGAATAATACATTCTGTGTCAGCTAGCCACAGAGTGCTCTCTTTTTCTGAGTAGTGTGACTGCTTTGGCTGTGGCCAGACTCTATGTAGTATACACGTATGCCTTTGTGAATGGAACCAATACCCTGGTATTTAGTGTAGAACACTATACAGCAGGGCTCAAAATTTCCACTCGCCCCCTCGCAAATTGCGAGTGAAAATTGCGAGTGGAAATGAAGCCATTGAGTCAGGCACTCCTCGGGGCGGCTTCTCTCCTCCTCACCGACATGATGACAGCGCTCCCTCGTCCGTCCGGGGTCGCAGGAGGGAGCGCTGTCAGGATGGCCGAGCGAGAGAGAAGCCGCCCCGAGGGGGAGAGAAGCCGCGCTCGCAGCTGTCAGGATGGCCGAGCGGTGAGGAGATCGGAGCCGCTGTCAGTTTCAGGATGACAGCGGCTCTGTGCGAGGCAGAGCGGGGGATCGGTAAATATCATTGATATTTACAGATCCTCCGTGTGAAAAGGACAAACACTGGAGCGATCGTCTGTCGTCTGATCACTCCAGTTTTTGTAAATAACTGGGGACACATAGTGCTATGTGTCCCCAGTTATGAATGAACAGGCGGTGATTTACATTACAGTCTGTTCATTCTGGATTTCCTCAATGGGGAGTAGCACTCAGTACAGAGGCTCCTCCCCATTCAGAAACTATTGATAGTAAAATATTTACTATCAGTGTCTGAATGAATGGGAAGCCTCTGTACTGAGTGCCTCCCATTCATTGAGTGCTGAGGCTGTAGAAAATAGAAATTGAGGATTTGGTGTCCTCAATTTCTTTTCTTTTTCTAGAGTAGTGTGCCACTAGCGTTGATGTCATCCGCTTGAGACAGTGTGAAGTGTGCGTGCACGTTTGTTTTCTTTGTCACCCCTGGCTTACTAGTAAAACTCTTCCTGCTGTTCCAGCCAGCCAATCCCAACATCTGCTGCTTCTGTTTTGAGTTTGTTGAGCTGTTCTGGTGATTGTTTTATGTATTGGGTTCATCATGTCTTGCCATAGATGTTCTGAGGACATTCCTGCTTCTGGGGGTACATTTTCTTCCTTTTCTCCTGCTATTGAGCATGCCTCTGTCACCATGGGGACCTGATAGTGGACTTTCTTTCACCAGGAACACCTATTACCAGGATCATTCTCATCTCTAGCTAATTTACCCCCTTCATCTGAGCCTGTGATCTGCTCTGAATCCTCCAGACCACTACGGCTAATATTAGGACAGCCATTGCTACTTTAATGTTCCCATTCTACCTACTTAGTAGCCACTGGCGGAACTACCAGGGTCGCAGTGGTTGCAATTGCGACCGGGCCCTGGCGTTCCGCCACTTTGGGTTGGGGGGCAGCGAGGAAGAAGAGCCCCCCCCCCCCCAAGCAGGGGCGGACTGACCAGTCGGGCACTGCCCGAGGGCCGCGGCCAGGGGGGCCCGTCACCCGGTGGCATAGCGTGGGGGGGGGCGTTACCCAGTGGCATAACGTAGGGTGGCCCAGTGAGATTCGGACCGGCGCCAGAGATGACCTCTCACCTTGCAGGTGGACTCAGCTTGTGCGAACAAGAACAGTAACCTTGAAGACTGGTGAATCTGGCATTTTAGTCCACTTGTAGCAAAAAGATTTTTCCAGTGCCGCCTTTTCTGGATAATTTCCTTTTGTGAGGACTGGAGATATCCTAGGCCAAGGGTCAGCAACCTTAAACACTCAAAGAGCCATTTGGACCCGTTTCCCACAGAAAAGAACACACCGGGAGCCACAAAACCCAGGACCGGACCTCACTGGGCCCCCACCCACAGCCTCAGGCCCCGACGGTAGTTCTGCCCCTGGACAGGGAGCCGCAGCAGAGGGATGAAAGGGCCACATGCGGCTCCGGAGCCGTAGGATGCTGACCCCTGTCCAATGCCTTCATGGCCTCCATCTGATCCCCTAGAGGAATTTCCCTTAGACAAGGAACTCCTTGAAAAATGGTTTCTACATTATACTGTATAGATCAACCAGTCATTCATCTTAATGGAAATCTCGCTGCATTTCTTTTCCTTCTGTGACTTCACTGAAGTTCGGCTGAACCTCCGTATTGATTTCCTAGTCTGAGTCAACCAGTTGGACTTTGTTCTATTTTGACCGTGGCCTAGCTGTGTAAAACTGTCTGGATGGACTGCATTCTTATGCAAAGTGAACAATCCTCTTTTTTTACAGCTTATTATGAGGTTTCTATGATGCCCTTCTGTACAGTTGTGTTGGTTTATTAGAGGCACTTGGTGTCTTGTATGGCACTTATGACTGTCCAAACACAATGAGCCTTTGTAGAAAATTCCCAGAGGAAATCCTTATTAACTTACGTTTCAAGCAAGGCAGCTCTTTGGCCTTATTCCCAACGATGCCATGTCCAATTTTTCTGATGATCATTCTTGGTACCTGCTTCAAGACAATCTGTTCACATGATTGATCTTTATCAGTCATCAGCTAGTTCTCCTGCACTCTTTTGCAGATCGGTCTGTCTTCTATGCAGTCCACAGATCTTGTTGTAGTGTCTGTACCCGACTCGGCTGTACCCCCCTTTTTTTTTTTTTTTTTAGTGTTCACACTGTTTTACAAGATTTTGGTTGGAAATCCATGTATCTACGTCTAACCCTGGTTCTGGTGATAATTTTCTTCTTTTTTCAGCATTTTGTTGCATGAGATTTACCTTCTCCTACCTGGATTACTCTAGGTTTTAGGGCTGGCTGCAGCTAACGATTATTTTCAAAATCGATTAGTTAGCCTATTATTACGTTTGATCGGTTAATCGAATAAAAAAAAATAAAAAAGGCTCCAGTGATGGACTACTAGTTTGTATTGAGATTGTAGTCCATCACGGGAGCAAGCTTGGAGCGGTGGTAAAAAAAAGTGGTGTAAAATATAGTACATTATACAGCGGCGCAATGCGGAATACAGCAAATCGCATCAATAGTAATTATACTATAATGTACTATTGCTTGGATTTGTAGTCCTCTGTAGCTGGCGTTATTCTGCATTGCGCCGTATAATTTATTGGTGGGATTTGTAGTCCTCTATAGATGGTGGTATTCTGCAGTGCGCTGTATAATGATTATACGGCGCAAAGCAGAATATCACTGACCAGTTATAGAGAAACAACAAATTGCAGCAATAATATATTACACAGCGCAATGCAGAATATCACCAGCTGTAGAGGACTACAAATCCCACCAATAATACATTATACAGGGTGTTTAATGTATTGTTGCTGGGATTTGTTGTTCCTCTATAGCTGCTGGTATTCTGCATTGCGCCGTATAATTATTGCTGGGATTTGTACTCCTCTACAGCTGGTGATATTCTGCATTGCGCTGTATAATGATTATACGGCGCAAAGCAGAATATCACTGACCAGTTATAGAGAAACAACAAATTGCAGCAATAATATATTACACAGCGCAATGCAGAATACCAGCAGCTATAGAGGAACAACAAATCCCACCAATAATAAATTATACAGGGTGTTTAATGTATTGTTGCTGGGATTTGTTGTTCCTCTATAGCTGCTGGTATTCTGCAGTGTGCCGCTGTATTATACAATGCAGAATACCAATGTATAATACAGCGGCACAATGCAGAATACCACCGAGCACATAGATGGATATAAATAAATCTGGTCGGTGGTATTCTGCATTGTGCCGCTGTATTATACATTGGTATTCTGCATTGTATTGTGCATGGTATTCTGCATGTCCTTATTGACCTCATAGTGTGGTGTATTGGCGTTTGGTTTGTTTTCCTCTTGCCTTATATTTTGGCATTTATTCCTGCAGATATTCTTTTCAAAAATTAATTTTTAAATTTTGCTGCTGTTGCTGACCCCTCAGTAGAATTGCTTTTGGATGTCCCAGTTGTCTGATTGCTACTACTTCTGTGTCCCTCAACGGGCAGAAAATAAAATATGATTTTTGTACTTCTAGTAAAATCTTTTTCTTGGAGTCCATTGAGGGTCATAGGTCCCACCCCTCTGTATTCTTGCCCTATGTACTGCTTACTCACAAAACTGAGGCAGCACAGCTGTGAGTGGGGTTATATGGGAGCCAGGCTTCAACACTTTTTTTGTTTTTCTTCTTTTTGCCAGTGTCAACCTCCTAAAGGCAGCTGCATATAACCCAGTCATGGTTGCTACTTCTCCTGTGTCCCTCAATGGACTTGAAGAAAAAGATTTTTTAGCAAGTACATACATCGTATTTTACCCCCTCCTCTAAACTGGAGCTGAAAGCATTTGTTGTCGTAATATAGAGGTGCAGTGATGTATACATGTACACATTTGCATGACTCAAATTGCAGACTTGAATCCCAGAAATAAAAAATTTTGGCCACAGGAAATTCAGTCTGACATTGGGGTCAGATTGTAAAGCGGGCTGTAAACGGCTACCCCCCTCCTTGTGATTCTGTGCAACATGATCACTAAACACCAGCTCTGCCTTCACACACAATACACTGTCTGGGGGGGAGGGTTGCCGCTATGAGTACTAATGAATGGGGGGGAGCTCAGTGGTAATATACACACATTGTTTGCAGAGCACAGAGGTGGCCATTTCCATGAGGATATGAAGAAGAAAGCTAACAAAATATGAAAGTTTCTGTGTTCATGTAAATCAACTGCATATGCCTTCTTTATGTACACTCGGTGTACATTGCTGGCATATGTTTAAAAAAAAATAACTCTCTGCAAATGTGGAAATGGGCTAAAGCCTGCTTGAAGCTGGCTAAACTGGTTTGTAAAAGCTTGCTGTACACACTGTATAACTGTCTGTAAAGGGCTTGGGATAATGTACTGCACTGATGATGGCCAACAACTCTGATACAGTTATATGCAGTTTAGAATAAATGGCTCTTTGTGTATATGCTGGATGCACAATCGACACAGGAGCAGAGAGAAATACCTGCTTCTGCTCCCTTTTCTAGAATAAGGCTTATTTCCATTATTTGTAGGATTTATGAAGGGAGTGAGAATGCAGATTCCTTCTGTACATTATTCATGTAAAAAAATAGATTCACTGGCTGATGATAAGAACGTTAACTCGTCCCCAAAGTGGCCTGTGTGTCACAACTTACTATACACTGCTTACTCATAGTAAAGTCAGAGTACCTCTCTGCTTGACATGTCATGTTACATTAGAAGTGATTCTGTTCTTTAGTGTTTCGCTGTGTATTTAATCTGAAAATGCTTTGACTTCAGTTCTCCTTTTGAGTATATTGATACAGTGTGTTTCTAATATAGTTTAGTGGGATTTCACTGACATGATTCTCATTGTTCTTTTCTTGTGAATGATCGAGTGCTTAACAGGGATTTGTGGGCTAAATTAGTTTTAAACATTGCTGGAGTCATGCACTAAGTAGTTTCATATTCATGAGTCTTTCTTCCGCTTGGGATAGACTCTATCAAATCCTCTTATTACAGCAAATCTACTTATCAGAATGAACTCAAAAATGTATTTAAATTCCTAGAAGTGCCAGTGGGAAGCCTTTTATTGCCCGAGGGCTGTCAATTCTTGAGCTGTACACTGCCACAATGAAATGCCCATAGCAGACCGAAGACTCATTTCTGGGCATGCCACTTAGTAACTTGTTGCCACAGTAACATGACAAGGGATGTCCCAATGCCATTTTTACAAGAGCAAGTACAAGTACTTTCCCTCAGGTACTTGCTGATACCAATTACCGATAATTTTTCTTAAAGGGACATGTGACATTTTTTCTAAAACAATACAGACTAATGATTTTAGGGCAGTTTCTTTCTAATTATGAAGAACTGAACTGTGGCCTGCCGCACACTGTGTGTCTCTATGGACGCACACAGCTAGGTGCAGACACGGCCGTGAGTGTGCATGCATGGGTGCCTCCACAGCAGCCGGCTAGCTAATGGAGGCACCTGTACAGGGGTGGGGGCTAGTGGTTTGGATACCACTAGAGAAGGAGGGAATAAAAAAAGTTGTTAAAAGTAATTCATGCCTCCATACAAAAAAAAAAACCCCGAAGGATTAATGTCACTTTACAGCTTGGTCTCCATAATTGGTTAGAATGAGGCATTTGACAGCCTTTTGTAACTGCCAACAGTTTGGTCTGACATTTTGTTGTTCGTTTAGGTACATGTTGCTTTCTACCTGCCTGAACATTATGTGCAATGTTTATGCCATGTCACCCTAATTCACTTACATGAACTCTCCTAGCTTGCTCCTAAGCCATATAAGTGAAATGAGGCACCTCATGAGCACTGGATGCCTTGCCTCTGCATCTGAATAATATTTGAAATAGGTATTTCCATGTGTAGATAACATTATACATTCAGGGCAGTGGTGTAAGGCTGGGTTCACACCTAGGCGTATTGAATATGCACGTTTTTTTACCACGTTTCGCGGTAAAAAAAACGCACGAAAAACACGCGTTTCTGAGGGCTACTTGGCTGTATCCCAATGGAAACACCCGACCAAAACGCACCGAAGTACATGTACTTTTTTGGGCGTAGGGCGGTTTCCCACGCGTTCATACTCATGGAAAACCGCCCAGATGGGAACCATGCACATTGAAAATAATGGCATTTCCCTGTTTGAGCGTTTTTCCGCGAGTACGAAAGCGCGTAAGGCTGGGTGTGAACCCAGCCTTACAGTCACAGCAGATTTATGAATCCTCATCAGTGGAGTCCAACAAGATTTTTTCATTGAGCAGGCCTTTGAATTTTGGGTGTCCAGAATTGACGATCTCTTCAAGGACTCTGATTTGTATCTTGTATTATAGCTATGCCACTGGTTTGTGGAATACAAAATATTCATGTTTAATTTCTTGTTTCCAGGTTTCCTTAACACGCAGTTCACCTTACAGTGAAAGTGAAGCGCATGATGGGCGCTTCCTTTTGTCTTATGACAAGACCCTGGCAGTTAAAGAAATATCCAGTGAAGATGTTGCAAATGTGCACAGTATTTTGTCTGATTACCACCAAGTGCGTAAAACTTCATCATAGTAGGTTATACAGTATCTTTTGTATTTTACTTCTGACACACCTTTTGCATGTTTAGAATTCTATCATTTGAAAACAGAATGGGAAATCTCCATGCCATTCAGGACAAATAGATGGCTGTGTAAGAAGGCTTTAGCCTAACGGTGACAATGTGACACCCCACC